GCACAGGTCTGGCGGGAGGCAGAAGGGTTAATGGCCGGCCTGTCAGCTGCCAAGCCATGTGTGAAAAAAAGCTGGCTGGCCAGGAAAGCCTCTCCCAGATCTCGTGGCAGGAATTAGGGATGCGGAGCCTTTCTCTGCTCCATCACCTGCTCCAGCTCAGCCCCAGCTGGGGAGCTGGTGCCATGTGGCTGCTGGCCAGGGAGGGTGAGCTGGGAGAGAGGTGCTGGTGTACCTGTGCTCTTCCGCCAGCCCGTGCTCAGGGGAATCAGGTACAAATGGGTACGGGGAGGCTGGCCCCCTCCAGCACCCGCACAGGGCTCAGATACACCATCGAGACCATGGGCAGGAGTCGTTCGCTGCCTGCGTGGTGCCGGCTGGAGGGAATAAATAGAGGCTGCCTTTTTCCAAACTGCCAGTCCCATGCATATCAAAAGCTGCATATGTTTTCTTCAAAATGAACTAAATACAAGTAGATTTAATGATGATAATAATAATAATAATAATACATGTCTGTGCAGGACTCTCCAAAGCTTTCCAGAAACTCCATTCGTGAGTGGCTGAATGAAAATGAAAGCCAGATCATCTCTGCCAGTTTAACAATTGAGCTCTCTCCAGCTCTTGCTTTCTTTTTAAACAGATTTGTTCCTGGTCATTACCAGTTCAGACACAGAAGAGCTTATGGGTTCGTTCTGCCCGAGGTGGATTTGATTTGAAGTCCCACGAGGAATATTATGTCACCAAACTGTTTCCTCTCTATAATAGAATAAAAAGGGGGTTTGGGAGAGGGAGAGGCAACACGCAGTGCGACAGAGCCTGTGACCGGAGGGCACCGCAGCGAGCCCAAGCAGGTGGCTCCACAGAAACCCTCTTCAGCCTCATTCCCGCTACGACCATTGCGGGGATCTCGGGGATGAAGTCAGTAGGCAGCGTGACAAACTCCTGGGATGAGGTGCAGGAAAATCCGAGTGCACTGCCGGAGGCTGGCCATGCTGTGCCTCCATCACATGATGCTCAGGAGCGTCTGATGCACGGCTGGGGATGGGCAGCCTGGTGGAAAGCCTCACATGATGCTCAGGAGGTTTTGCCTGGCTTTCTGCGGGGCTGAGCTTGCAGCAGGGAGGTGGGGAGGGATCAGAGAGCCTCTCCTCTGAGGGCTCATCTCTCGCCTTTGCCTCTGGCAAAATCAGATCACCCAGTTCAGTAAGAGGAAAAAAAAAAGGTCTTTTATGGTAGGATGCAGCTTTTTGCCTGTTCTGCACTTTTCTCACTGTAGTGAGCCCTTACACCCCTGTAATGGCCAGCACGAGCCCCTTGAGAAACTGGGACAGGGAAACTCTCAGCCTCTCCCTGTCTCCTCCCCGCAGTGCTTAGCATTACGTTCATTTTGCTGCGTCTTTCGGCAAGTTGCTCTGTCTCTGTCAGCTTTGCAAAATGCCTGGCTCTGGGCTTAGCTTGGTGTCTTGGAGCTCTTTGATGAAAACAGAAGTCTAGGAAAATCATCCTGTGTGGATGCGATGTTTAAGGAGCGGTGAAGTCGAGAAAAGACGGGTCCCAGCAGCAATGCTGAGTTGGTCAGACCTCCACATGCTGTTTTCTGTCCCTTTTTTGAGTGTGGCCAAATATATTACTGCTTATTAAATGCGCGCCTCCAGACAGGCCGCACACCTGCCCACTTAACGTTGCTCTTGGAGGCTTAAGGAAACCCTCTCAACCTAAAAATCTAGTTACTTCAAGTCCTGTTAAGTGACTTAAACAGCCTTGCTGAAGAAATGAGGTCACTGAGGTGCACAAAGCTGGGGCTGGCTGGCTGTTTTTTGTCGCCGAGCATAGGAAAGCAGCTAATGATCTCCCTCCACAGAGCGGAAGGATGGGCTGCATTTGGAAGCATTGGGATGCAGTGCTTTGCGCCCGCCTCCTGTCTGCCTTCGGACAAGTCACTTCCCTGCATCTCAGTGCTCAGTCAGGAGAAGACTCCTGCCATCTCCTACTCGCCTCCTCTTCGCAGCTGGATGCGTATTTTGGACCATTTTATCAGTGGCTGTAAGCGAGGCCTTGTGCAGCAGGGATTCGCTATGCCAAATGGGTAGAAGGAGCAAGCAGCGGTAACGCAGAGGGGCAAGAGGCTCGTGCCAGTGCTGCTGGTAGCTGGCATTTCTTCAGAAGTGCTGCAGATGTGATGAGAATGGGAACGTAAATGCTTCATCCTTGCAGACTTGGTGCTTTGTTTATAATCCAGGCAGCATTCATACTGCACCTGCTGCCTGGATCATCTTTGCATGGGCACGGATTGTGAAATCAAGGAAATAAAAAATACTTGCTCTTTCTAAGATGACTTGCTACGTCAGTGAGCTTCTACCCACCTGCCCCCTTACCGACAACAAGTAGCTGCCATGGATTAAGTGTGCAACAGTTTCTCCTGAGGGCTGCGAGATCTGGGCTCTCATAATTATCATTTTTTCTAGAAAATTGTTTGTCTGTGCACCCGGCGCAACAGCTTCTGGGTACAGACATCACGGGGATAAAATGGGTGATGCTGCCTGTTGGCAGCAGCAGCGATTGCCTCTTCTCCTGCTGTCCAGCTCTGCCCGTCGGTCTGAAACCTCTGGTTTGAACCTGCCCGTTCTTGCCCAATCTCTGTTATCCAGTCCAGCTCAAGGCTTCTATGCACAGTGGATCCTCACGGCGTTTTGCTATGCTACGAGGGCCGTGGTAGGCTGGCAAAGGGAGCAAACCCTCTCCACTGCCACTAACCTTGTCCTCTCTGCAGCACGAGGGAGCAGAGCATGGACCAGAGCTGATACCAGTAGTGAGGAAAACATGGACAGGAGGAGACATCCCTTAAACTACTGTGCTTTGGTCCATAGAAGGCTTTCCTAAGGACAAAGAGTACTTTGGAGTCGCTGTTTCAGGACACAGAAGATAAGCATCTGCAGTGACTTGTTCTGCTCATGAGTGAGAATACCCTGAGTGGAATCTCCCCAGAAAACTCCTAAGATCAGATGCTTGCTAGTAAGTCATACCTTGGGCACCTCCAGGCTGTAAAACAGGTTTCTCTTCATAGGAGAGAAGTGGCATCTTGGCTGACCGAAGATGGAGAAAGGAAGTTAGGAATGCCACCTCTGCTTGAAATTTTAGGGAGAGGGAGATGTCCCTCTGATCTCGTGACTCTGAGCTGTGTCTTCATGAAGGGCCAACATAGATAGGTATAAAGGGGCAAATGCAAAAAGGAATTATTCTGCTTCTTCACTCACAGATGAGAGCCCTTACAGGCCAGCAGCAAACCCAAAGGTAAGAGCAGAGGGAAGATGTGTGTCAGGATATGAGCAGAGTAAACAGAGGTGTTTCTGGGGAGAGGCCATTACAGAGGTTCATTCATCCCAAATGAGTAAGCAGAGACTTGCAATACAGGTCGTTGCAAGGGTTGACCTGGCTTGGGGAATCGACATTTTACCAGTTTTGAGCCCTAAACCAAAACTGAACACCAGGCTATGCTACTTTCGAGGCTGTTTCTCGTCTTCCAAAGAGAAGCTGTGCATTTTGTCTAATGCTGTGGAAAACGGGGCACCCATTTTGTAATCCCAATATAAGGAGGCTGGTACTTCAGGTGGCAGCATCGGTGCTGGTCACAGCCTCACATCGGGATGTCACTTCAGGGAGTCTGTCAGTTCCCCCTCAGGTTAGAGGAACACAGTGTTACTGCCAATGGTCCTAGGCAGACCTGTCAGCCCAGCCTGTTGAGAAGGTGTGTGAGACTTCCCACTGAAAGAGCCTGGCTGTAATTGTGTGCAATTTTGCTGCCTTTCCCAACCATGCAGGCTGAAATTTTGAAGACCAAACCTTTGCTTCAGGCAGAAGAGATTTTTATTTGATTTTGTTTTTCATGGGTAATTTCTGCAAAGTATGATCAATCTCTATTTTCAGGAAGAAGTAGGAAGAGGACAAATCAGTTGATTTACTTCCAAGCTTAAAAAGCTCTCGTGAACTTTCAGAGAACCCATACAGTCCCCACGCTTAGGAACGCCGGCTTCCAGCTTTTTTAGTTTGCTCTAGTGCATCAAAAATATGCCCAATGTCAGCAACCCAAGCGTGACCCAATTATGAGCTTTGGAGTGAAAAACTAGTATTGGTGTCTGGATACTCGTTAGAGTTTGGCAGCTGAAATGTGGTCAGCGTTGAATATCTGCCCAAGGGCTGTCAGGGACCGTAAGTAAGGTTTTTCCTCTGGTTCTTGATGCCACAGGTCAAACAGCAGAGGTCTGTGCTGTGGATCTCAGGCATCCAACCCCACTGATGATAGATGGTGTATCAGGTTGGTATTGATCAACAGTTAATTTTCCCTGCATTCGCAAAGCTGCTTCTCCACTTTATAGGTTGTCTGCCATGTGATCTCAGGGTGCTTGGTTGGGTTAAGTGGTACTGGGGTCCTTCTGACCTAGCAAACCCTCAGACCTACCTCCACTCCCTGCAGGAGACTTGGCCACCTCATCTTCTTGTGTGCTGCTTCTCCTTGGGGATTGAGTGGTGGTTCCAAGGGTGCCAGGCTCCTGTTGCGCAGACAGCTCCCAGGCTAGCAGAGTGCTCCGGTGACATCCTAGTGCATGTCATATGTATGTTCACCCCATGCTTGAGGTCCCATTTTCCGTCTGCCTGGGGCCCTCGCAGGCAGCCTGCAGGCGAGCTGTTCCTACCAAGGTCTCAAGATGCCCTGCAAAGAAAAATCTGTACATGCCACCTTAATCTTCCCCTCTTTCTCCTGTGGCTGCGAGGAGAAGCTGTTTATCTGAGATGCAGGACTGGGGCTGCTGTAAATAGCTCTCTGCTTTGGTGAACCTGCTGTGTCAAAGAGGGACGGCCTTGTGGCAGGTGACAAAGGCTAAGCCTGTGAGCAAAGATTAGACTGGCAACTGCGGATTACGGCATTTCTACCTGGACTCATCCTTGATTCTACCCGATTTAAAATAACATGCAGTGGCAGTGGCGGTGACAGGTAGGGAAGACTCATGGTGGCCCTGACAGGTGGACGTGGAGGCCAGGTGGCCAAATGTTTGGCCCGTGAAATCCGTGGGGAAGTTTGGAGGGTGTCGACGTACGGGTGAGTGGGCAGAAGGATAGGTGGTGTCATGGGCTGGGCTGATGGAAAACTGGTGGAGAGAGGTGTGTGACTTGCAGGGAGATGGGGAGAGCAGGAGCACGGCAGAACAGAGCCGCAGAGCTGTGGATTGTGGGAGGGTGGATGGGGAAAAGAGCGTAGTAGCTGGATAGATAAAATTAGTGAACAAATGCGTGGTAGAAACAATTAATTCCTAGAAGGGAAAGGAGTGAGTGGGAGAATAAGTGCATACTAAGAGGATTTCCGCTGCTTGGAGCCCTTGTATGCAGGCACCTGCACCAAAACCATATCCCAATTTACACTCCATGTCGCCTCCCTGTGTGCGTGTGGGAAGCCACCCTTGCTCCAGACTGCGACTGCTTTACATCGCTTTAGATCAGATGGATAAAAAGGCTCGATCTAAAAGTGTCCTATTTTAAGTTAATCCTCAGAAATAAAATGAGACTGTCTCCCCAGTAAATTCCCCATGGCTACAGCCCAGGCAAGGCAGCGGGATGGGAGCTCAGCAGGGCAGAGAGGTGCCTGCAAAGGGCGGCTGTGCTGCACAAAGCTCAGCTCCTTTGTGCTGGTCCATAGAGATGGGGCTTGCCCTAACGTGTCTCCTGCCTCCCTCTCCACCAGGTGTTCTCCATCGTGGTGTTTGGCTCCATTGTCAATGAAGGGTACGTGAACCGCCTGGACGAGACACAAGAGCACTGCATTTTCAACCGCAATCACAATGCCTGCAACTATGGCATTACCGTGGGTGTCCTTGCCTTCCTCAGCTGCCTTCTTTACCTGGCTCTAGATGCCTACTTTCCGCAGATCAGCAGCGTCAAGGACCGCAAGAAGGCAGTGCTCTCGGACATCGGAGTTTCGGGTGAGCTTCCTGGCCGGTTGGCCATAGTGCCCCTCTCCTCTGCTGGCAAGGGAGAGGGAGGGAGCTTCTGCCACCTCGCAGGCCAGGTTCCTGCTAGCAGGGAGGTCTTTGGGTTCTTTACTCTCTCAGACCTTCTCTCTCTCTCCTTTTCTTTCCCTTTCTCTTCTTCTCAGCCAATCTGGCTGATGCCTCTCTGCTGTTCTCCATAGGCTCAGGGAGCCCTTTCGGCTCAGCAGGTCTTGCCTCCCTGCATGCTTGCATTTGCTAAGGCCACGTGTTGATGCCTCTGGAGATGGTACTTCCTTCTTTTCCAGCTCCAGGTGATTGAACCCCGTATATTTTAACATAAAAAAACGTTGAGGATTTCATGCAGGCTGACTAAACCAGTCCTCCTAGGTTACCTGGCATTCCCCACGTGAATAGCTGTGCAAGACCTCATCTAGTCCTGAGGCTTATTCTAACTTACAGTCAGATCTCTCCATCCCCAGTAGTGTGTTGAAGTGACAGACAGAGCGATGGTGGGTGTGTGTGTGCATGTGTAAAGCCAGTCAGCAGCAGTGTGAGGAGGCGCTTTGCTCTCATGCCGTGATCCTGAATTGCTCTCTTGGCTTACTCCGGACATACAGGCAAACTTCTCCACGTCAGGGTCCCCCCACAGTTTGTCAAAGGGGCCACGAGTGGAGTGGGAGCAGGATCAGGTGCAGCATCTGAACTTGTTTAGGACTTCTGGCTTGCAAGTTTGTTCACGGTTAGCCCCTTGCCTAGCAGTCCTGTGTACAGGTAACAAGAGAAGGGGAAGGGGAAGGACTGAGCCCTGTTTTGCTGCCACTTAGGAATGCCCGTTTCCCTCCCTGGCGGGTATCTGGCTGCGCCTGGCAGACAGGGTGAGTTCCACTCCTCCCCACCAGCTGCCAGTCTGGACTTGGGGCTCCCCCCTACCTTCACCCCTTTCCCGGGGGTGCAGCTTGTTAATGATCCTTCAGCACCTTTCCTTCGTGTGAGTCCCTTAGCCTGTGCTGTCCTGAGCAAAGGCCGGTCTCTGTGCAATTGCAGGCCGGCTGCTTCCTGCTCTTCTGCAGCTCCCTTGGAAGGAATTGCTCTTTGCTTGTCCTTGTAGGACAGGGTTGTGAAGCAGTGGCTGTTTCAGAGAGCCCAGGTGATTGCTCCTGTACTGGAAGCCCTTCAGGCTCCCTCCCAAGGCCAAATGCAAGTCCTGTGATCAATCCAAACACAAGCAAATGAACTCTCCAGAGGTACTTTCTGCAAACACCTATCGTCACCTTGACAATTTAGCCATCAGCAAGCCTGCCAGCTCGTTTGGGCTTAGACAGGCTGCGCAGTCAGAGTTTGGCTCAGTCTGCAACACACTGGTGGGTCTCACAGGGTTGAAGTTTCCAGAGAAACATGATGTGTTTATGTTCTGTTCACACATACCTTCTTGATGTCTCTCCCCTTCCCCTTCGGCATGCTGGTGGTGGTCCGTCCCAGCCTTTTGGGCATTCCTCTGGTTCGTTGGCTTCTGCTTTCTGACCAACCAGTGGCAAGCTTCAAAAGAAGAGGACAACCCAATGAATGAGGGAGGGGATGCAGCCCGAGCAGCCATCACGTTCTCGTTCTTCTCCATCTTCACCTGGGTGAGTACAGCAGCCATGATGTTGGATCAAGTGTCCTCTGCACTGTATTAGCTTGTGGGGAACGGATGGTGACTGGCTAACAGTGATTCCCTCTGAGATCTCAGTTCACATGGCTTCTGAGAAGGAAAAGCAGGAGGGGAGGTGCTTAGGAGGTAAACTTGGGAAACAAGGACTCAAAAATTTACATGGAAGAAGGTGCTAGAGCATTAATAAGCACAATGGGAAAGAGGGTCCCATATCCCAGTAAGGAGTGTCCTTGACAAACCTCTAATATGACCTTGGACAAGCCAGCTCCCCAAGCATGATTTTCCCTGTGCGTCAGAGGACTTTAACAGCATTTTCACCTCCCAGACGCTAAGCAGAGAAGGGAGCTCCAGGCCGGGGGTTGCACCCATCTCCCTCCCTGCTTTGCTCCCATCATGTGAAATGTCATCAGTGGCCACAAGAGGCTGCAATCGGCGTCCCTCTGGGCTCTCCGTCTGTACCCACGACTGCAGCACTGCCTCACTGGGTCGCCTCTTAGAAAGGTGATGGTGCTGTCTCTTAAGACTGCCCTTTCCCCAGCAGTTCTTTATTGGACAGTTTCCTGGAAAAACTGTGGTGTGCAATATAAATATCCCCCACGATTTCCTCCCATCTCTGAAAGCACCAAGCCCGAGTGATTTTTGTCTGAAGTGAGAGGATAGTGCCAAGCAGGAAAGCATTTTAGGCCAGTCTCCATGCGTAAGTCCTTGTGGCTTTATCTTCTCCTCTCCCTACGGCCTTAACGCTGGGCAGGGGCCAGGTAGGAAGGGTGCCGTAAGACCACACGAAGCTATCAGAGAGGAGGGGGGGCTGCAGAGGGTTGGGCGGTCAGCACCCTCGCCAAGGTAACACCAAGTGGGGGCAAGGGACAGCAGCGTGTGTGTCCCCCCCATGAGCAGCATCCTGCACTCAAGTGCCGCCGAAGGCCCCTCGCAAGCTCCAGCAGAAAGTGTGACGAGGAGCAAGGCTTTTGCAAGGGGTCCCCCAGGACCCTTTTTGAGGTGCCACCACCTGCAGTGGTCCTCCCCAACACACGGGCTTGCGAGTGGCTAAATAGGCATCCTCTTCCTCCGGTTCCTTGGGGTCTTTATTTCAATCAAATGCTCTGGTTTGCTCCTCCTTACTGATTCTCCTCCCCACACCCCTCTCTCTCCTCACAGGGCTTCCTCACATATCTGGCTTTCCGGAGACTCAGAGACATTACTTTTCAGGAAGAATACAACACCCTGTTCCCTAACTCCCCATCCTTGCTGCCTTAGTGCCTCTTACTGATGGGGGAATTTGAGGGAAGAGGTGGAGGGATGCAGCTGGAGGTTACCGAGCACAGACAGTTCCAACGCCTCGACCACGGGCATCCATGTGTGGTCACGGCAGGGCACGGGGTGGGAAGAGATGGGCCACTGAACCGGAGTGGGCCAGGTTGCCCACTGAATGGGGGATCTCCCTCTGGGGAGTTGGAACTGGCAATTTCTCCTCCTCCTCTGCTGCCCCCTTCTCTCCCTCACCTGTACCCTAACTAATGCTGCGTAACACCGCTGTGCCTTTCTTTTGGTGACTGCTCAGACCTAATACTTCAGCCAGGAGATGCCCTCTGCCCCCACCACTTTATCATCTCCTCCATTTTGCCCAGCCCTCATTCCCCAAAAACCTCTAACCCGTCACCTACTAGACCGCTTACCTCTATCAGGGATGCTCTGGGACAACGAGCCGTGCCTGCTGGTGTCTGCAATGCTGAACCCCATGCCTGAGCTCCCTCAGTCCACCAAAGGGTGTCCTGCCTGCAGTGCCTGGGGCGGGAGGCAGCAGTACGTTTGCTAACTGTCCCCTGGTCTGGGAAGCAGCTGCCTTGCCTCCTTCTGCTCCTTCCCAAGGAGCATGCTGCACCGTGCAGATGTTGGCCAGTGAAGGGGTTACGGGGGGTGACCACTACCTCGCTACTCCGGGTCAAATCCTGCTCTCCTTCCTGGCCTCTGCAGGCAAAATGGCTGCGTACATCCAGCCTGGCAGACAAACCTTCTGCGGTGGAGCTGAGGCAGATTGCCTTTCCCAGGGGCAGGAGTGTCTGAACGGGATAACCACGGGCTGTTTGAGCCTCTGCGACCTGCGCCATGTCGGTGAAACCCCACTGCCGGGCAGGAGGTGCCCAGCACATCCCAGAGGCAGCAGGGAACCCCGGCAGGCTGCACGCAGCCAGCTGGGCTCGCAGCCATCCCTGCCCAGTCCTCCTCTCTCCGGGTGGGCTTGCGCTTTTTGTGGGGCAGCCTGAACCTCCATGCTCTCGGGGGTTTTTCACCAGCAATCTTCCAGGCAGGCTTTGCACACTAATCCATAACCACTACTAACCCCACTTTTGTTTGTTTCTCTTTCTCGGTACGTTCCCCCTCTCTTTCTTCCTTCCCCTCTCTGCTTCCCATCTCTTCCCTCCACCTCCTCCCTTAAAGGTGGGCCAGGCATTCCTGGCGTATCAGCGTTTCCGGCTGGGTGCCGATTCGGCCCTCTTCTCCCAGGACTACATGGACCCAAGCCAGGACTCCGGCATGCCTTATGCTCCCTACACGAATGAGGAGGATGCTACAGACGCGGTGGGGACGTACCAGCAGCCCCCTCCAGCAGATGCTTTCGACACCGAGACACAGGGGTACCAAACGCAGAACTACTGAGCCACCGATGCCCCTTTCCCTTCCCCCTTCCCTTCTGCCCCCTTTCCCACTGCCGGCAGAAAGCCGAGGCACAAACCAGACGTGCGTAGTGGCACAAGAAGTGGCTCTCAGCTATGCTCCAGCCTTCTGGGTCATCTGTTTTTATTTACAGTTTTTAAAAAAGGAAAAAAAAGAAAAAAAGGTTTCCCCATCACCTCTTCCTCCTCCTCCTCCCCCCAAAACTACCTGCCAGAACCAAATTCTTCCAAAATCTGTCACTGCGTTGTGAGAGGAAGGTCCCCCCTTACCTCCTCTCCCTCCTGCCTTGCTGTGGAGGGCAGAGTCTGGCCAGTGAGCAGGAGAGGGGCAACGGCACCAGCAGGGCAGGGGAGAGGGTGCTGGAGGCAGAAGGAAAGGGGTGAGAGGGACCGGGGACATTCCTAGAAGAGACGGTGTCGCTAAAGGCTGGAGTAGACGTGGGAGCATCCGAATCGGGCCAGAGGGTCTGGTGGCTCAGGGAGGGGGACGGTGTTAGAGTCAGCATGCAGATGTGCAGGGGTGGAGAGGGGGCTGGAGGGGGGTGGGAATGATGTCCCCTGTGCAAAGACTTTTGGGCTTTTTTGTGGGCTTTTCTCTCCCACCCACTAGTGAGGGAGGGGTGCTTTATTTTTAGAGCGTTTGGGGAGAAGTGGTATTGGGGGGGGGAGCACAAAGAGATAAAATGGGAAGGGAAGGAGGAAGATTTGCGGGTACAATCAAAAACCACAGGCACGTCTGTAGGTTACAGCAAGAGACTCGGCAGAGCAGAGGGGCATGAGAGTCACTCCTTCCCCAGCCCCCTTGGATTGAGGTGGAGGTGGTTCCCCTCACCTGTACGTCCTGCTCACCATTCTTCTCAGACCAGTGTTTGGTGAGGCAGGAGGGGAGCCATGCCCAGTCCCTGACCCCCAGGCGCAGTCCCTGTGGGAGGAAGGATGGAGGAGGTGGGCTTCTAGGGGGCCCTGAGAGCCCTCATCCCCAGCTGGGCTGGTTCGAGGGGAGAGGAGAGCTTTGCCATTTCACCCTGGGCAGGAGGAGGAGAAGAAAGCCAGTTTTGCTCCTCAGGTCCTGCTGAACCCTCTTCCGTTCCTTTGCTACCACAGTGCAAAGCCTCTTGCTGACACCATCTTTGTAGCACACAGGAATGGAGCAAGACTCCCCCTGGAAAGAAATACTGCTGCTGGGATGGCCAGCACACGTCTGGCTCTTGCACAGGGGTGCAACCAAGCGGGGAAGGGTCCTGCCCCTCACAGCTGTGCTTTGCCTCCCACTCAGATGTGGAGGAGGTCTTAGTGCGCAGAGAATTGGTTGGGGCCAGACCGAGCTCTCTGAAAACTGGTCTTGCTGTACTTACCATAGACTATACCTTAGTGCGTCTTCTGCAGCATCTCAAATCCTGGCTGTCTTTAAAGCCTCACCTAGGTGGCAGTAGTGACTCTCAGATAGAGCTCGCATTGACATCATTCCACACTCCTCATCATTTTGCTTTAGGTAAAGACACGATTCTGGAAGCACACTGTTTATTCCAGGATAGAAGTAATGTCTATGCATGAAGACGGTCCCTAAAGGGAAATAATTCAGCAATAGCCACCTGGACAATTCTCTCCAGCACAGGCATATCTCAGAGTACAAGAAGCAGGGTAGGCCTTGCAGCAGTGAGGAGCTCCATCCCCCGGGCAGCCACCCTGCCCCATGCAATGCTGGCTCCAGTAGCAGAGATCACGAGCAGATCCAAAATCCGTAGGTGCTTCCCTTGAGCGTCCAGCCTATTCCCTGTAGCACCCTTAGGAGTCAGGAGGATGGGACACAGTTCTGGCCTGTGGTTTAGTAAACATCTCATCTTGGAGGACATCGAGGTTACCAGTCCTTCCCCTCCTCCCAGCACGACTCCGCTCCATCTGCCCCACGACGATAGGGAAGGGGTAGAAAAATGTAGAGCTGCAGGCCCCAAGAGGGAAGGGGGGGCAGTTGTTCTCTGCTGTATATAGGCACCATTTCTACCTGCTCCTACCAGCAGACTTGTGCTGCCGGTGGCTCTCCCCATGGCTTGTCCTCCCCATGGCTTGCCCCACCTTGCTGGTGGTTAACCACTGGTGAGGATGGGAGAGGGGGACCAGCTAGCCCCGTGGATGCACCAGGAGGGACTGGGCACACATCCCTTGCTCTGTGGCCGTGAGTGAAAGCAATACTGTAAATAGGAGGGGTATTTTTTGGAGGGAAGCCCCTCGGGCTTCTTCTTCTGTGGGCTTAGCCTAATATTTAGGCTTGGGAGGGGGTTACTTTATTGAGAGAGGTTCGTTATGACTGTAGCTGTGGGGGGAGCTCCCTCCAGTCCATCTCTCCTGCCGGGGGAGAGGAAAGAACGAATGACGAGGTGGAAGAGGAGCAAAACTAGTTGTACTCACCCAGATTCATCTGTGTCATCCTTCGTGCTTTCGTTTTGGATGTCTGAAGGGAACCAAGAGGAGGAGGAGGAGGTTATAAATAACCAGCCCTCAGCACAAAAATGTGTTGTACTTTTTGGGAGGAACTGCCCATCACCTGTCCCCTCTCCTCGGTGAGGGGGTGAGGGACCGGGCGCATGAGGAGAGGTACGGACCATACGTGGGGGGGTCTACCTGGGGCTCTGTTTTGGGGTGTAGCACAGAAGCGTCTTACATGCCCCTTCTCCCATCAGAGTTATGTAGATGGCTGAACACCATTTGGGGCTGACTAATGAGCAAGCTTTTCTTTATCCTCTTTGGCTTGCTTCCCTCATGTAAGCAGCTGATGGGCTCTGGTGGGCTGCAGGTAGGAATGAGCCTCCCCCTCAGAGCCGGCACTTCAGTGAGGGATGAGCCAGGTGGCTTCATCCTAGGTTACTGCCCATCTCTCTGTCCCTTTCCTCCTTCCTTTGTGTCATAGGAAAGGCATTGGTGTGGCAGGGGACACTATAACAGTAGATACTTGGGCGACTTCTTGCTTTTGCTCATGGGAGAAGGCATACTCTCCTTGGGTTGACTTGCTTTTAGCCTTTGCAGTGGAGGGTTGGTGGTGACAGACCTGGGGGTGGGACTCTCCTTGTTTGCATGTAGCTCTTTAAAATGCAACTTCCAGTGGCATTTGGCTAGTTCTGCAGCTGATGAGAGATACAGACCTACCCAAAGGGCTGGTTATCTTATCTTAGGCACTTCTGATAAGGTGCTGCCTATTTCTGGTGATCGTAGGCAAGACCTGAGCAGCTGGCTGGAACATGTCCCTTTTAGATCCTAAACGTGGGTGAGATCAGCCCCACTCTAGGGATAAGGAGATCAGAGGGAATGCTGCATAAGCAAAACGATAAGGTGGCTTTCTTCCCCCTCTGCCATTTGTCTGGATTACAGAGGATTCTACATCCCCTGTTGGGAGCAACGGCCCCTTGATGTTTTCTTATCTTATGAAGCCCCCAATTAAGGGACTGTTTTGTGGAAGTAGGGGCTGTGAAGGGCAAAGGGATGATGAAACTTTGCCCCAATTCTACCTGTGGCTTCAGTCTCCTGACGTGTCCCCATCCCCGGCTCACCCACGTCCCCACCACACTGTTCATCACCTCATCACACACCCTTCCCCTCCGCATTATTCCTGGCAGTTCCCTCAGGGGAGGAGGCGTCTTTGTCCCTGCACCCTCACAAGCACGTGGGAGGACCTGGGAAGGCAGCGTTGCGGGGTGGTTCCCGCAGGAGTCTCGGCTCCGGTCCCCAGAGCAGGTACAAGGCAAGGAGCCCAGCGAGGCCACCTCATGCAGCAAGTCCAAACCATCCATCCAGACAACTCCCTGCTGCCTGCGTGGCATCTGTAACACCACCTGGGCTGCCCTGCCCCTTCCCCTGCCGCATTACTGCCTGTTTATAGTATATATATTATATATATATTTAAAAAGATGTATAATATAAAGCTATACATATATACGTATATACGATGACTCATGGATGGCCTGCCGCATACAGGATCCCCTGAGTGGTCTTGTCTAAGCCCGAGTGTCCCTTCACCCCTCTTCCCCCTCCGGCCCTCGCCCTTGTCCGTTCCGAAATCCAACTAAAGCAAACCCCGCCACCTCGGCACCTGTGTTTACAATGTCCTATATATTTGTGGTTAACAAAGTGAAGGTGGTAACTACTGGTGTCTCAATAAAGTTATGACGTTCAAAATAACCAAACTATATAATAAAAATGGTCTGGATTTCCTTCTTTGTGGAGGGATGGCTTTTTTAGCTTGGTTTGCTACGAGAGCACGGCTCCTGTGCTCCTGCATGGCCAGCCGGCAAGTTTAGTGACAATCGGTGGCTTGAATGGAGGAAAGAGACCTCAAGAACTGCCCTTCTTGAGATATATATTTCAGGGGGAGCTAATGGTTGCTTGTTTTGCTTGGCCTAAGTTTCAAATCACACACACCATCAAGTGTCTCTTACCTAATCAGTAGGAAAACTTGAGAAGGAACTTAACGTGCCATATTAGAAGTGGACTCTCATTGTGAAAGGGATATGGCTATAGGAGGTGTGGATGGGGAACACAGAGGAATATAGGATACAAACCTATATGAAAATAAACATCAGTATTTCCACACCCAGAAAGCAGCAGATCTGTTTATTCCTTTGATGAGTCTTTACCTCTATTCATCTGTGTGTGACCATTGCTTGGGTGCCTAGCATAGTACACATTTTCAAAACATAATCAAATACTGGGAAACAAGAGCTCTCAGGGCACTGCTGACAGTGGGTGTCGGTAACCGACAGCCCGCCATTAAAAAGGATCTCATTTCAGCTGGCACTGCAACAAAAATAAAATTCAAAATCCCATCCCGCATGCCAATGCTTAGGTGAAGCTTCCTTCTCATCCCCTTTTAATGAGCCTGTCACCCAAATACCCGAGTATCACATTTCCCAACCCTTGTGCAGTTTGAGGACGGTAAGCAGAGGCAGATGATGGCGAGTGGGCTGTATCCACTCCTCCAAATTGTCTCCCCTCTTGGGGACACAACTGAGCACACACACGCTGTAGCTTCACATCAGATTATATGCAAAAGTGTTGACATACCTACCTGTTTCTTGATTAATCTTTGTTTGGACAAAGACCCTTCCTACAGTCCCAGCTTTTGGGGTGGAAGTGTTGTGGAGGTATCATGCCCACAGAAAGGCAAATGTCTGTGTTGGCAACAGGTGGAGTTAAAAACTGGTGAGACAAAATGTTGCCAAAAGCCAGCATTTAAGATGAATAAGACTCCAACATTACCAGTTTATTTCTTCTAATAATTTGAAATCTCTTTGCTTTCTGGTATTTCAAGCTCTTATGAGTCATGTTTTGAAGCTTCGCCTTGCAGCCATGACATCTAGAAATATAATTCTATAATAAAGTTGTTTTTATAAAAAAAGTTCACATAATCCCAGGACTCGAGGAGACGAGACTTTGTTTAGAGTATCATAGAATTCAATAAAATCGTATGCTTTGGCACAACTGAAACATCCCCATTTCCCTCCCTCAAAAGCCCAACTGGCCTAAAGCTCTGTACAAACTGTTTTGCAGTGATATTTGGCTCTCTCTCGGGGGGACCAGCACTCCCTCACCATTCCCCCTTCCCCTGGCAGCAGCTCTCCAACTCTCTGGAGGGTGCCGGGGGAAGGAAGCTGCTGTCTCCTTCTCTCTGTCTCCAGCTCTCTTTCTTTCCTTAACGCTTGTCCTCTCTACTGCTCCATCTCTATTTCTTTGCCTTTCCAGCCTGCCTGGAAACAGTGGCCTGTAGAGGAGCCAGGAGCATTAGGGCATCTGCACCTGTGGGAAGCATCAGGCTGAAGCTGGTAGAGGCAGCTGGGGAGAGCTCGGGGTGGAGCTGCGTGAGGGCTTGCAATGCCACCCCCTCCACCATCCCTTTCTGTAATGGTCTGCCATAGGAGCGGAGCAAGTGCAGCAAGCTGGCTCTGTCGAGACCCTTCTTTTTTTCCGTATCACCTCATGCAAGCCTTGCCAAAAATCATGACTTTCCTTTCCAGCCCCAGCCTCCGTTATCATCAAAACAAGGCAGAAAAAAAATCTCCCTAAACATATCTCACTTGTGATCACTAAACTGAACGATGTGATGGCTTCTGACAGCGATCCTGTAATTGCTTCCCATTGTGTGCAGTTTCTGAGCGCCTACGAGAGCACTGCCGCTGGGGCTGCCCTATGTTCCCTGCTCCCCACGGCACGTTGTTCAATCACGTTGTTCATCTTTTATCCAGCAGCCCAGCAGAGTGATCATGCTTCTTCCTTTTCCACAGAGAAAACAGTAGTAAGAACAGGAAGGCGGTAGTACAGCTTGGCACCTGAAATACCGTGTGTATAATCCCTAGCATTAGGGACAGAGAAGCAATGAGTAACAATAAATATACAAAGGGAAGGAGAGAGAGAGAGGGAGGAATGAGAAATACGTGAGTTTAACATGAGAGGGAGCTGTGGATCTGGCAGTCACTGAATCGTATAATTCATTTATTGGTGCACGGATGATGAGGTTCAGTGACCGATATCCTGCATTCTTGGGGAGATTTTGGCTGTACGAGAATACAGCGTGGTAATTTCTGAGAGGATTTGCTGAAGGTAAGAAGCATAAATAAAACAAAGAAAAAAAATAAGCTCGATCAATACAGCCAACAAAAACTCTGTTGGTGCAGTATTTCATCTTGCAAGTGCTGCATAAAGCTATTGGTCTCTGTGAGCAGATACTCATGAAGCCGCACAGAAGCTTTGGTAGCGCTTTCCTTTGGAGGGCTGCAAAATGCTGGATAAATATTCATTTAGCACAGCCAACTGCCTCCTTTGGTAAATCTTACTATTCACTTTTTGCAGACCAAGTAGTTAATTGCCTCACTCAAGGTTAGGGCAGAGGGTCAGTGACAGAACCACAGGAACATCCAGACAGAATCTGGCACAAGTATTTTCACCAAGAAAAAGATGTTTTACACCAGGTCTGTGTTCCAGCCCAAACAGGCAGGAAAAAAATAAACCAGAATGGCAATGATTAGTGACTACGAGCTGAAGCCAGGCATTTAAATTAGGAACAGGGCACATTTTTAACTGCAAGAGGTGACTAGTCATTGTACAAACAAGGAAAGCGGCAGCTTTTCTATCTCGTATCTGTAGGAAAGTTGTTTTATTCTCTCGTTGAGATCACATTCTGCCCTACCGCACCCACACACAGACTCACTCTTGTTAGTCACAGAAGGACTCACTTATGGATACAAGAAGACAGAAAGGACTCCTAAATTGCCAGTCCTGCAATGCGATACACGCTGGCAGTCTCTGAGCACACCCGAAGCCTTGCTGATTTCAGTGGCGCTCTGAGCAAGGACAGGGTCTGCCTGTGCTCATCAAGGTGCATGACTGCAACCTTGAATGTCATTAAATAAGCATACGCTTCTGCTGCAATGCTGAAAAAGTGACATCATGTTTTAAAGCAGAGAAACTCGCCTGTTGCTTTTTAATGACACGAACAATGCTGTTCTACACAGATTTCTGCAGCACTGGGAATTCTTCTTGATACAGGTAAGAAAACAAACCTTTATTAGTACTAAATGTGTCCATCCTACTTTTGATTTTAATGCAGACTCGAGACCCATTCCTATAATTACTTGTACCCACTCACAGCTTTACCCACAGGAATACTCCAAATGACATCGGTGAGACCAAGCTTATACATAAAGCTAAACATGTGAAAACTTGTTTGTAGACTGAGGTTCTAAATTTAGCATTTTCTTCTATCTTTGGCCAAAAGTAATCTTTAAAAAAGTAATTCTGCCTGTGTACCTAAGTCTGCTTGAATGGCTGAATATTTGTGAGCCTTGTGTGAAGGGGAAGGATCTGAAATCTTTGTATATTTGGAAGAAAGAGATGTAACAAAACAATAGACAAAGGATTTACAGGAAAGGGAGCTGGAATCCTCTGGCAGGATCCCCTGCAGCAAAAACCATCGTTCCATAGAATAAGGTTAATTAACTGGCAATTATTTCTGAAGTGCATCTGAATCTAATATATTTGCCACAAAGATGTCATTAAAAGAGCATCAAGCCGCTGCTGGAAGTCAAGACTACTTAACACTCCCACCCTCACCACAATTGCACTGCTACACATGACTGAAACTGCACGTCACTCATATTGCAGCCCCTTCAGCCTCGATTCACACAGGGAAACATGCTCTTCCCCAAGCCCCCTGCTGCCACAGCCTGTCTGCCGGCCATCACTCACTCCAAGATATGCCACTCACACACCTGGAGAGCTCTTCTGATGACTTACAACATACAAAAGCCGTGGGAACGATTCTTGTGTCTTCCCTCCTGCTCCAGCTGAGCTGGTTCAGTGGAAACTGTCCCTCCTGAAACAGCCTACCTCAGCCTAGAAAGGTTCTTAAAGAAGAGCAAAATCAGTTATCTCTGGTTTTGTTTCTATCGTTCAGGCTGGCACACAAGCAATTTTACTGTTGTGCTTGACTCCAGATGACCACGGACCACTCCAAACTGCGGTGGGTATTGAGAACCACCTGTCAGCCGCTCTAGACACCTTCCCATCGCTGGCCTGAGGGCACGGTCCCACTACGCCTGCAAAAGAGGGTGGGAAAGGGCTGTGGATCACCTCGGTGGGAGACAGCCTCCAAGCTGAGATAAACAGAGGCCTCTTGGGGTGTCTACAGAGCAGCAGTGCAGCCGAGAGCTGGTATCTTGGGCTTTCCTGGGCTTGGTCTTCCCTAGAGGTTGCACAGAACATGACGTGGTGCTAAGAAAAACATTTCAACGCTAGACTCCCTCAGGCCTCTTTGGTGTCCAAGGTGACCCCATTTCACAGGATCCTCATGACCCTGCCCCTCTTCCCTCCCCCTCCACACACGCTTGCAGCGGTGGCCGAAAGGTGCTTCTTTCTCCCATGACCGAAGGCCTCAAGGTTAAGAAACGGAGATGTCCGTATTCCCCCTAGACAAGAGGAAGGGGTAGCAACAGGGAAATTTTAAAATACGTATCACTTCCGTGGGATTTCTCTCCTCATCGAGGTGAGCTGACCACGCTCTCTCCTC